TTTTTATAGAATACATATATGATTTTAGTTATCTCTTGAGCTTTATATTTTTATATTAACAATAAAAGTTACTGAGTTGATAGTAAAATGAATATGGAAGCTTATTTTAAGATAAAATATTATTATTTCGCAAGTAAAATATAAAGAGTTGCAATTGTTTAAAAATTATTAAAGTAATTGACATGTGTAATAGTAATTTGTTTAGCAAAAAAAAACAACAAAAGTTAATACTTACTACTCTTCCTACACCAAACTTATAATCCGTGTGTATCGAAGTATCAATACATATTTTACTCTAGTCTTAAGTTATTCTTCATAATAACTTGCAAAAAAAAACCATTTTTTTTTTTTTTGTTCATTAAAATATATAATCCATAAAAATATTTTCATTTTAACATAGAATGGTTGCATTTAATAATCTAAAAAATTCATAATTACTCTGATAAAATGAATAAAATAATAGTCTCTAAACCATTATAGGAGACATATTGCCAATGAGTGACTTCTTCTACCAAGAAATTCACATTACAAATGTATATTTATATCATAATAATTTATTTTTGGTACATGTGATTTTATTTTAAAAAATATATAACTATTTTATAAAAATACCTACTGTAAACTTGTACATTATTTAAAAAAAAAATAAAACATTTATTTTAAGTATTCTAAACCTATTGTCATATTTTATAATATCAAAACTATATAATAAATACAAAAACTGTATAGTTGTGTAATAAATAGTTTTCAATAATTAAAAGTTTAATTTTAAAGTTATAAAATATTTTTATACTTCTCATATTATTTCAAATTATAATAATACGATTATACGATTTTATTCTTGTTTAAAACGATTTCATTTAGGTATGCTTAAATATTAAATAAATACTCAAATTGATTTAAATTGACTGAAACATTAATTATTATAAAATATTCCATGGTGTTTTCTCGACTAAAGAAATTTAATTATCTTGCTACTTAAAATATTTTATAGCATTTTGAAACACCTATTTTCAGTCAGCATTTTTTTTAGTATATTAAAATTAAATAATACAGTATGAAATCAAAATAAAATAATAGATTTTTTTTTTAAATGTTTTCTATTTTAATATTATTTAAGATTTAATTTTATCATTCAATTTCATTAATAAACATAAATGAAATCGCTATAAATATTTCATTCAATAGCAAGATTAATATAAAGGTAAAAGCACTAAGCTATATGGTCGCTGTGTACTCCTTTTATTATAAAGTTACAAACTAATATTCACGATAATTATTCAAACCACTGAATGTACAATGCCTATTTATTTTATATTAATGAAAATTAATTTACTTGAAACCTTGAAAGGTAATATTTATTAGAAGTTATAATGAAATAATAGTTCATAGTCATGTGTATTTTATTTTTAAACGGTTATATTACTAGGTAAGTAAAAAATATAAATGTAAAGATAATTGATTTATATAGGAAATATTATTATAATTTAATAGCTAAGAGAAATAATTAAATTGCGGACATAAAAAAGAAGCATTCAAAATTAATGCGTATTCACCTCAAATTGTAGACATTTATGATTATGGTAATAATGTAGTCATGTTATTACGTTTATGGTGTAAATATTTGTTGCTTTGGGTTTTTAGGTTACTTTCGAGTTTCGGTGCAGAATCGTAGATCAGTGTTGTGTTATAAAAAAATAAAAAAAAAAAAAAAAAAAACTGCAAAAATCGAACTTTTAACGTGTTTTCATCCCGATTTTAGGTAAAAACTTTACACAAAATAATGTGATCTAAGACATTATTTTAAAATCAATTAATTTTACTTTCATTTGTTATCTAAAACAGTTGTATAAATCATCTTCTATATGAAATATTTATGTTTATTTTGATTCATCAACACACAATGATTTCTTTAAATCCATTTATATGTATATATATATTTTGTTTTTTTTTGAATATCCAATACATATAACACTAATCTTTATATTTTCATTAAAAATGTACTTGGAGTAAATTAGTTGAGTGCATTTTAGTGTTTTCTGGGGTTTCGAACACTTTAAACAAACTTTACTAATTATACATTGTGTGTAATGTATTTATAAGATATTATCTTACACAACACATTTAAAATCGATATAGAGAAAACTCATAATTCCACTTATACATTCATATAAATCATTTTTTTTTATTTATTCACGGTTAATTATTTAATTTAATTTATAGTTAATATTTATATTAATTGATTTGATACTTCTTGTATCTGCAGATAAATAAGTTAATGTACAATTGTAATTTGTTGGTGCGAGTATCTTTATTATTTGATTTTATTTAAACTGTTTTTAATTTTATGAATAAAAATAAATGAACTATTTTTAGTTGCATCAATTATATTATTTTATTATTATTATTATAATTATTATTTCTAGACAATTTTATGCTTATAAATTTTTTTATTACTATTAAATAATATTTATTTATTAAAATAACATAAATTATTTATGAATTCAAGATAAATTATAGGAAAGTTCTAATAGGTTTAGTAAGCTAACCTGGATGAGCCGGGCTCTTCTTAAATGTACATTAGGCTAAGCTCCCCGCTAGAAAATATATGTACAAATTATTTTTATTAAGTATCAAAAACGTCCTAGACTTTCCACATGAAATGAATTTATCGTGCTAACTATTCGGTAATACAATTTTTTACTATGATTATTATTATTATAAAATGTTTTAAATGTACATAAATAAATATAAATATTTTCTGAAAGTTTCAAGTATTTATACAATTTGTTTTTAAATTTTAACCAAATAAGAAAAAAGATTTTTTTAAAAAAATAGGTTTGCATAAAAATCCCGGGTTTTCCCTTATTCTCCCCTCCTCAAATTATTAAGAAAATATATGAGAATATTTTGATTTTAACCCTTAAAATATCAACTAAATTCACTTCCGTGCCAAAGATATATTGAAATTTAAAATCTGACAAACCCGGCAAAAATAATATAATACTATATTATTATAAAATAAATATATTCATCGTTCTACTCTGAATTTAGAATGGAACTTAAAACTTTATATTTTATCTTAACTAATAAAAATACAATATTACTAAAGAGTGTTTTCTATTAAAAATAAATATAAACACTACATGCAGTTACACAAAAACATATTATATAATATCCATATTTTGGATACAAATATGTATAAAACTTTTTAACTGTTTATAATAGAAATTTATAAACAAACAACTTTAATGCTTTCTCTGTTATACAGATACAACATTTAAACAACGCCCTCAGGAAATACACTGAAATCAACGTTTTCTGAAAATGTATTTCGATTTTATTCAAATAATATGAATACATTTACATAGAATAAGATATATAAAATACCTAATTGCACGCTTTGGCGTGGTACTCATAATCGAAACTTTATAACAGCTATCAGCAATTATTAATACACCAACTAATTATAATCACATAATAACATAAAAAAACACAGGTCAATCTTAAAAAGAAAATAGTATATTCTCGGTGGATCTTTATCAAAAAGAATTAAAAACAATTTCAGTATATTAATAAAAGTACTGTAAATATTTATTTCAATAAATTTTAAAAATGTTCGATAATTACCAATTCGATTTATCATATACATGTAAACAACAACACCTTGGCCGCATTGTTTGCGGTCGTCCAAAATACATTTATCTGAACGTGTATAACACCGATATATTATATGGATACGTATATATAGGTATATAATGATACGGGCAATTTTTAAAAATGCGTACATGGTTTACACCTGTGCCACATTCCTTGTTGCGGTGGATTGTTTGAATATTTAAACTTAAATGTGTTCATACTACAAAGCCATTGTGGTATAGTAAAGTTATAAATATTATGCGGTCCACGTATTCGGGACAACAGCCATATTGCGTTATAGTAAGTCAGATTTTTTTATTAATAAAATTATAAATAATTATAAATATATATATAAACATATAATCCATTACATTTTGTTATAATTTCAAATTGAATGAAGTTGTTTATAAATAAATTACTTTTCATGTGTTAAGTTTACGTTATAATTAGAGCAGATAGTTATATACTTTGCATTTTTATATTAATTTTAATTCAAAAAAATATCTAGGTTATACCAAAATATTATATTTTATGACCAAACGATATCATATGGGTAACATTTTATTTTAAACATTTAAGCATATATTTAATGCATATTAAATCAATTATTTTTTTTAGTCGAGTTTAAAAAAAAACTTCGTAAAGTTTCTTATACTTGATTATGAGATATTATATGCATATATCAAATATTTTTCTTTTTGAAGAAAAAAGAATAATTTTCTAAAATCCGAGGAAATTGTTTAATTACTTATATATATTTTTATTAGAAAATAAATAATTATAATTTCAAATATTACTTTGATGAATACAGTATTAGTGTTATTAATACACAGTATTATTTTATCAAAAAATATATTTCAAATTAAAAATAATTACTAAATATTAAACACTAGTCTTAAAATAAAATTTCACTTCTAATAAATCAATTTTTTTTATAGTTTATTTTATGGTTGTATATTTGTATAAGTGTTCTAATAGTTACAATAATATAACATTATGATCTAAACATTTTTACATTTTAGTCTAAAATAGCACAAACAATTTAGTTAGACGTAGGTACGGTCGCACTCAGTACAATTTCAATTACAAAACAGAGACATACAATTACATTTTATATGTGTATATGTGAATAAAAAAAGTATATTATACTGTATACATATTTCATATGTTTTATAATCAACGGCACGTGACATTTTTTTTTTAAACCTAACATAGCCAACAGGCAAAAGCATTTAACCCGTAAAAGAACGGTTGACTCCATTTTATCGCGAGTTAGTTTACCAGCTACCGTATTATATGATATTAATATTATATTTATAGAACGAAAACATATATGTGCACTGTGTTTAGATATAACTTACACATAACGCCGCGTTCCAGGTCCTCGTAGTATCCTACGAACGCCAACTGTTGCAATACGTTGTTAGGCAGACGGTTCAACGTATCCACACGTCTAAGTCGTGACGTAATGGCCTCTACATCTTTGGCGCTCCTGTCGGACGACCTGAAACAAGCACGAAATGGAAAATGAAAAGAGAACACAATAATATTATCGAACACAAAACATTCATAACTAAGACCATAACCACCGTGCCATTATTGATGTTATGTAATTAAATTGTACAATTACTAAATAATATAGATTACGTAGAACGTATGATTGATAGTTTTTACTGTTTTCAGTTAAAAAAAAAAAAACACTCAATTTTGTTTTGTTATTATTTCAAGTGTAGATGACTAATGGTTGTTGAACACGAGTCACTAGGATATATTTTTTTTCTTAATTTCACACGACGGTTTTATGATAGGTGTAAGTATATCATATTAAATACAATTCACTCGCACCAACTGTCTAGCATAAATAATTAATTACCATATCTCGAAGATAAGACTCGTAATCCGTTCAACAATAATTAATTACTTGTTGAAATCACATCGATGACATTATAGTCATATTAATCTCATCTTAAATTTAATATAATTACCAACATAGTTTAATTAATAAACATAAATAAAATACTGTATTGTATTACATAATATATATATATATATTAAATAATATACACTTAGACGAATTGCAACTTTATTTTATTACCATTATTGAGTTAATTTACAATACGATTAGTATTAACGCCCTCTGGAACCATGGTATATACTGAAGGTCTCAATAGGACACGTATTTTGTTGTAACACGGATACACGGATATTTATTTTGGATATATCCGTATTTTACGTGCTACGTGAATCCCGTAATGACACTTACGTGAATTTACAAAATACGTGAATTCCGTGATTTATAATCACGTGATCCGTGATCCAGTTTGTTGACGGTTATAACAATGACCTATTGTTAGATTAGATAGGTATTAAAATATATATTAAATAATGCCTTGTCGACTTATTTTATACGTACTTAAACTTAATTAGTTATTTTTATCGCACAGCGTTTACGTATAAATGCAAGCATTTGAATTTCGTTTATTTTATAACTTAATTAAAACGTTTTAAATTACTTGTTGTAATGAGCAACAAAAAATCAAGTTGGGTTTGGCAATATGCACAAAAAAAAGAAAATATTGCGTACTGCCTTGTATGTGATGGAAATGAAAACAACAAGTTTGTATGCAATGGAGGTACAACTGGATTCATTGGCCGACATATTATGGCGATTCATTCCATGAATAAAGGCGTAAGAGAAAAAAGGAGGTAAATTTAGATCATATTATACCTCATCAAATAGGTAAAATTGTCACCGCTGATAATGTCGATAAATAATTAGGTCAACGTAATCTAATTAAAAATAAAATTGTTGGTATTTTCGGGCCCCCGCTGTTCGGCCACACGCACGTATACGGTACATAACACACCGTAAATATAAGTCTAAGTTATCTGCACTGTTTGTGAATTATTCTACAAGATTATTTAAATTGTGTCGTGTAATTAAAATGTATTTTTCCCGTCCTATCCTCTGTCTCCACAAGTCATACGCGACTCTATAGTCATCTGCCGTACTAATTATACGTTCTCATTATCCGTACGTCGTCTATGTCCGCCAACCGTAAGAATACGTGTATACACGGCAGCGACCGGTTGGTTTTATTTTTTTCCGTAATTTTGAGTGCGCGAATCGCCACGTTTTGTGAATTATTATTATTATTTTTATTGTTCTCACTACTCGGATTCTAATAGTACAATTTGTATATTTTTTAATGATTAAGTTTCGAGATTCAAATAGTCTATATTAGTAAGATCACATTGGCGCTAATCATCTATTGTTAATATATTTTATACGTTTTTAAGCGCGTGCAAATCGCCACCTTTGTAATTTATATTATGATATATACCACACTATATTATTCACTATGTGGCCTACCATGTCGGTATTAAAAACAGCGCAGGTGGTATATAAGATGTCCGTGCACGCGTAATATTAATTCATTCTACCGGCCCAAAAAGTATTGTAATATATACAGTCAAATAGATTAATTATACATTAAACACTTTAAATTTTAGTATTATTTTCAAACTTATAATTTTTTGTATCTACTGAAAAGATACAACTCGGATTCAGAAGGTGAGGTGCTTGATGCAAAAAATGGCTTAAAATCTACAACAAACAATTTAAACAGGCAGCCCATTACCTCTTCAAATAAAGTTGACTTTCCAAATACAAGTTCTTCAAGTATTAATTCTGATTCAATATCAAGTAAAAACTCTATTTCAAATTCTCAAACAAGACAAAAGTGCAAAAAAAATAAATAAAATAAACGCCACATCAAATAGACTAAATATTTATGAAAGAACAGAAAAATTCATAAAGCACTTTCGAAAATGATAGCTATAAATCAGGTGCCTTTTTCATTCTGTTCAAGTCAAGGTTTTAAGCATTTCATGAACGTTGTTGAGCCAAATTATAAGCCATGGTCTGTAGAAAGTATAAAAAAATGTTTAAAATTATTAACCGGTGACATAAAAAAAATTAAAACGAATGAATTAAATGAAGTAACTAATGTATCATGTACAATAGGTTGTTGGACTTCCCAAACTCAAGAGTCATATATTACAATTATATGTCACACTATTGATAAACAATGGAAACCGAAATCATTTACATTAACAACTCACATCGTTAATGAACAGCACACATCTACGAATAAAGCACATTATTTTGATAAATCATTAATAGAGTGGAAAATCGAAAAAAAATTAATGCAATTGTAATAAATAACGCTACAAATGCCATTGACGATGTTTCACAATTAAAATTAAACGATAAAATGACAACATTTAGATTAACGTGTGCAGCATATTCTTTACAGCTAGCTATTAATAAAACTCTCTTGGACGATGAAATTCAAAGTATTCTAACGAAATCAAGTAAAATTGTTGGTCATTTTAAACATTCTCGATAGCAATGAAGGCTTTGGAGAAAATGCAACAACAATTAAATAAACCAAAATTAACTCTTTTACAATTTTGTAAAAGTAGATGGAATTCTAGTTATTCAATGCTGAAAAAACTTTACATTAATAAGACCCCCATTATGAATGTTCTCGCAGATCGTACCATAACAGCAGCCAGTATTGCTCAAAAACTAGAAATTTCAGAATCTGAATGGTTAGTTATTAAAAAATTATTAGTAAATCTGAAACCATTACAAGTTCTTATTACATTACTTTCTGGAGAATTAGAATCTCTTGTTTCAATGGTACAGCCTTTAATACATAAAATGTTAACAACTCATTATGAACACGCTGCCGAAGATGATGATATGACTAAGCGATTTAAGAATACAATTTCATATAAATTGATTACTCGCTTTGAATTGACATGGAAAGAAATTGTATCTGTGAAACACATTGCTTCTTTTCTTGATCCAAGATATAAAGATATGGACTATGAACCCATAAAGGCTAGAGATATAATTCGATCACACATTTTGTAACTTATTAAATTAATTCCTCCAACTATTACAAATAGTACTAATTATCATAATGACGAAGAAGAAAGCGATTTTCAAATGAGTAATGCGTTAGCATTTATTTACAAAGACCATACTAGTAGTACGAATGATGTCTCTGTTACGAGATACCTTTCAGAACCCCAACTTCGATTTGATTTAAATCCGTTGGAATGGTGGAGAACACACGAAGATAAATACCCAACAATAGCAGCTATTGCCAAAAAATATTTAGCAATTCCATCTACATCGGTAAGTTCAGAAAGATATTTCTCAACAACAGATGACATTATGACGTCAAAAAGAAGTTACCTTCCAGTCGAAAATATAGACATGTTGGTATTTTTATACCTAAATAGAAAAATTATATAGCTGATAAATCTAATAGTTCTCGATATGTTAAGTTTAAGTATTATTATTATCATTATTGGTTATTAACCTATCAATTAGGTTTATTTTTATTATTGGTTATTGACCTGTAAATTAATTTTATATTAAATGTTAAATAAATAGTGTTATTGATTATATTAACAAATCTTTATTATTTTTGTAGTTATATTTTTCTTTATTTCTTATGTAAAACACGGTTTATATCACAAAATTTTTAATTTCACGAGTAAATACACAATAAGAGCTATAATTTATATATACACTATAGGTAAACCATGATAGTGAAAAGATGCAAAACATTTTGTATAGAACACATACATGTTACTTTTAATAACAGTTATTAAAAATTAATTTTTAATCTAAAATAGTATATTTTATTAGGTTAGATTTGAGTAAGTTTATTAATTAAATTAATATAATTGTAAGAGATTTTAAAACTAAGATTATGGAAATATAAAAATGATTAGTTTAGAATCACTTGTATTATGAAAATTTATTTTTATTCTTACAAGGTAAATATAAAAGCTATTTTCCCTAATTTTTTAAATAGTGCACATAATAACTTACTTTATAAAAAAAAATTAATTTTAAAAGAAAAAAAAATTGTCAAGGGTGGGATTTGAACCCACGCCCACAGAGTGGACTGCGACCTGAACGCAGCGCCTTAGACCGCTCGGCCACCTTGACACTAAATTAAAGATTGAAAATATATTAGAATAAATTGAGCACTATATATCTATAATTTATAGATACTTTAATTTTAAAAATCAGGGACGTACACATGGGGGGTGTTCTGTGTGTTCAAACATGCCCCGAAATATTTAGTTTTTTTGTAGGGTTATTTACTTATTCAATTTTAATAACAATTGTTATATTATACTTTTAGACAGGTATAATATTACACTGTGTTTGTAAAAAATCGGCTAAGGCAAAATAAAAATTGAATACTAACAAATTAAAATTTTAATATAATGTGAAAAATAAAATACTAAAATAGGATTTAAAAATAAAATAAAATTATGCTTATTTTGTATTGGCGTATTTCCTATATTCATTAAAAAAAGTTCTACTTTTTAATAACTGATTTTCAAGAATACCCCTCAAAACTTTTTACTGTGTACATCCCTGCTAAAAATGTTTAACAAATATTACAA